TATTAGATCTTTATACGAGTGTTGGTGCTGTGGTCTAGTGGACACATCACCGGACTGTTGATCACATGGTTTGCTGTTTCAATCCCGCCGCGGCATTAAAGGGCCCATGACATCGAAATACAAGTGTATTCCTGTTGGTGTGCAGTCCTGCATACATCTCACATTTTGATATGTAAACTTCTGAATTTGTTTCATAGATTTTGAAATATTTTTCAAAATATTTTTTTTTCAAACTTGCTAAGCTCCACCCAAAAGACCTCCAGTTCTCTCATTCCCCTTGTGACATCATCTGTCAGTCATCAATGAGCTAACTTGAGAAAGTGGTATGTATCTTTGCCGAAGTCGACCACCTGTTACAATACGTACTACAATAGCAACATACAAGTTGCTATGTCAGACATGCTGTAGCATCAACAGGAAGACATGACAATGATGATGTATTGTACATATGTATGGAAGCATGCAATTCTATCATGAACGTGTGCTAAGCTGGGGGAAATTACATACCATTGTCTATTCTAGAATATTAGTTTAGTCTGATATATCTGACATAGCAACTTATGTCAAAATATGAGATGTATGCAGGACTGCACTCCAACAGGAATACACTTGTATTTCGATGTCATGGGTCCTTTATGGAGGAAGAGAGATGGGAAGAAGAAAATAGGAGAGAGAGAAAGATCGATTTATGCAAGACTAACAGGAATAGTAGTGGTTATTCCATTTCATTGTGAGCGTAACTGTCTGGAAGCGATTTTTTGTGTGGAAAAGATTGATCACGTAGGATATACCGTACGTATTGGTGGAGGATATGAGGTTCTGGAATTATCAAAATGATAATAAATTTGCCCAGTCTTGCTAAATTTCACACGCATCGTACACAGAAATGTCTGTATGGGACTACACAAATATATAGTACGGGGTTGTGGTCCATTATTTGTAATATTTCGAATATGAAAGCATTCGAACATGTTGAAACGCCATTCTTGTTAGGGGACACTTATTTCCATATTCTCCGCCACTAATGTAGAAAGAATAAAAAAGCTCACAATTTATGCTTCCCCTTTCCCAGAACTCAACCTCATATTTGAAAATAATGTTTATAATCAGCATTAATGCAAAAACGTGCTTTAACATAATGGCACTGGTAGTATTCATAGAAGCACTAATGACCCGGGAACATTTAGTTCATCTTTCATTTAATAATTAAAATGTGTTCATACCTTGGATTTTATAACGAGATATTTTACTCCGAAATTTACGTGTACTTTAGCTTTAAAGTTAGAAAAATATTGCTTGGTAAATACTACCCCCTCCGCACTACAGTTGATTGTAAACTTTAATTACAAACACTTTCTTTAAAAAAATAGGCTCGGATGACCGAGAGAGGAGGGCAGAAAGTACTATATAGAAAAAAGGAAGATTAATTATTTAAAAGATAACAATATATAAGAAGAACAAGATAAGACCAAAGAGATATTTTCTCTTTGATAAGACATCATAAAATAAAACGCAACTGAAGACAAAACATTTTTGTTTAAGCTCTGAGACAATTTTATTCATATACTTTTCATTTATTTTAATCCAACATAAAGAGGTCGCGTCGTTTTTACATCAAGTTTCTTTCCATCCAAAACCTTAAATGGCAGTTCTAACATTTCCCATTTGCATTTTCAATCAACGTACATGTACACAAGGGATGAATAGAAAAATATAGAGTAGGTTGAATTCAACATATGTACATTATTTTTGCGCAAATCACGTTAATGCCGTACAATTGACTTTGTATTCTATCAGAGGTTAGCGTCAGTATTACGTGTGTTGCACACGAAGCGTCATTTTCGATTGCATCATCACCTGTGATAATCAAGCCTGTAAATGAAATTAGCGCATACATCAGTAATGCAAGTCCCGATATTTTCTGTAACAATTTTCTTCCTTAAAACATACAGGATGTTACTTTCAAAACAAATATCAATAATTAAATTATTTACAGTTCCAATGAGAATAACATTAGACATTGGTAAAGGAGGTTGTCTGAACTGCACATATTTATCAAAATTCGTAATTGAACCTTTTAATAGGTATTATAAAATTTATCTTTCATCCACTCCTGTCATACCTGTGAACTTTCTCAAGCTAAGTGATTGTTTTCACAATTTTTTTTGCTGTTTGCTGCCTCAAGATCACTGGAGCGAAGAAATACGACAGTGAATACCCATAATTTCTAATTTAGCGTTGGCAGAATCTTAAAGTACGATTTTTGAGCAAAGCAGGCAGTGTTAGTTTTTTTTTGCAGTCTTTTATATATACCTCCTTATAATTCTAACTTTCCGTTGAGGTATAATTTTATAGTCAAGTGGTTCGAACATTTTTTTATAGATACAAAGGTCATGAGTTAGAGAGAAGGTTGAGTTCTGGGGAGAGGTGAAAAATAATTTGTGAGCTTTATTATTGTTATCATGCAAGTGTTGAAGAACATCAGATTAAAAATGTTCCCTGAAAAAAGCATGACTCTTCAATTTGCCATAATTTTCTTAATATGGCATGTAACAGCATATAAATCGGGACGGATTTTTATGGCACATGTTCATGAGGTCCCATATACATCTTTCTGTATACAGTGCTTGTAACTTTACCAAGACTGGGCCAAATTTCTTATCATTTTGATGATTCCAAAACCATGCAGTACACACCAATACTTCTATGCTAGATGATCAACCTTTTCTGATCGATTCCACACTGTTTCTTTCACTATGCAATCGCGACTTTATCTTTAAAGCCTCCACACGGCGCAAATAAATTTCCTTTTGCAGGGCATGATTCTATATTTCCGCTCTCCACACTGGAGTAGGTTATGGGAAGGACATGTTCCTTAAAAATGCACGATGCACTGCTAACGACTTTCTTAGCTAAAAGCCTGTTTAACAGTATTAGGTTGGGAACTAAGTTAAAGAAAATGCAATATTTATACACTACATAGAAATAACAAAACAGTAAATATCATTGATTTTAAACTCTCGATGATATATTCACATTTGGTCTTCTATGCTAATTTCATAAGTTTCCAACGTATGAAATATCAGTACATTGATTCCTGTATTGTATCTATATTGAAGAAAAAACTCCCAACCAAATTCGAAATACTTTTATCTTTCTGTTTCCCCGTATCGGAAGAAAATAGTAATTTATCATGAAAATTTGAACTTTAGAGTCCTTCTTCACCGTTCCCTAGAACGAAAGTTATTCACCAAATATCAAAATGACTCCAGCACACATAAAAAATGTAATTTTTTTTACCTGCATGGACGCCTGCTTAATCATGCAAAGAGCATCAATTTTAATGTCGCGTCTGAAAGAAATTTATCAGTTCTTGAATACAAGATGTACTTCATTAATCCGATTTGTTTTTTAAATAAATATAAAATCGACAGCAATATGCCGAACTGCATATAAATATATACTCAATATAAAATATGTAAAACTTTTGTGCAGCGTGACTACAAAATGAAAACAAAGAAGACAAACAGAGCAAATCGTTCTGTACCTTAAAATACCCGCATTAAAGGAATGCATCGTGAAGCGCTTCGATCAAGAAGTATGGTTTATAAGAAAAACACGATGTTAGAAAATAAATAAAAATAAATGTTTTCTAAGAAAACATCATGTACACTGAAAATTTAATTTTACAATATCAATTCAATTTATATGAAAAAGTTCCCTATTGGGCTCGGAAAGCTGTTTAACATTAAACATTTGTTTAGAATATTAATATTTCTCGGATTCAATTAGATACACAACATACATGAATAGTCTCATTACGAACGATGCATTATTATACTGCTATAACTTTACACTATTATATACATCCATTTTATTCGGTACAAGTGTCTGATAAAAACTCAATTATCATAATCTGGTCACAATAAGAACTAAGTGAGATGTATTTTTTGTGAGCAAAAGGACATTGACTCATTTGATCTAACGATCCTCTTGTTCTGGAATTCTCGCTACCCCAAATAGCGATTCTGCCGAGATCCGGGGAAAATCCTTAAAAACGCGCATTGCATTATGGGATAGCTTTTCCACATTACAGCTTCCTGTGCAGGCGGCGCGATAGCGCAAACGTAAAACGCCGTCGCCACACAACGTGTATGCACCGAATATGTCGTCTGCTCGGTCTTGTTTTTTTTTCGCAAATATTTCAACGTTTATTTGAACATTTCATTCGTTGTTTTTTGCGTCTTTTGACATCAGTGACGATGGTTTTCTTTTGTGAGGCTGCACAGTGCTGGGCTCATGATTCCAAGCGTAAGAACCCTGAAAAATGGGGGTGGATGAAGGCCGTGACTTGGGATGGGACTCTATACCGGAAGTTGTAGTGACGACCCGAGAGAGTGAAAATTACCTCGTCTCGCGAATTTCGAGATTTTCGTACCTATTTAGGGTAGCGAGAATTGACGTCGCTACAGGTTGGATGACACAGCATATAAAGGAATAAAACGTCAACTATATCTTAAACGCGGAATAAAACCTCACTTTTTTGATAGCCATATAAGAAATCATTCGAGTACATCTTTGGAGTTTAATCGACTCCAAAGTGGCGATTCTTAGGATTTCCACACTTCTACATTTAAAGCGATACTGAACTGAAGAACTTTCATCCCTAGCGTAATATTTATTGTACAGCGCCATCTCAGGGTCAACTTGCCAACAGTGCGTTACTTAATACCTAATTTCCACTTCGCAAACAGACTACTCGATGCCAGAACCAACAGCGCAGATAAGGAAGCAGGGGTTTACGAAACCATACTGCTATAGGTGACATGAGATGGCGCTAGAGGGGATTTTTTTTTTCTAGTACAGAATGGCTTTAAAGAGAAGAAAACAAACTGGAGGGTGAATAACCCATCCTCTCCAAGCGCTTAAGAAAGATAACCAACAGTCTTTTTCAAGACTACACCAACAGTCTTTTTCAGGACTACACACCCTCAAGAAAGATTACCGAGAGTCCTTTTCAGGACTCCTCAATCCTCCCTCTCTCTCACATGGTGCACCCGCAAGCCTACTGTATAAGGTGAATGACGTCTCAAATGACGAAAATATAGGACGATAGAAGAACAAAATTATAGGACACAAGAATACAAAGAAACTGATATTGATATATAATAGAGAGAAGGGAATCCATCCTTTGCCTCGTGCCATTCCTGGGGTCACGTTTTAGGGATCATGATGATTGTGCGGCACCTGAAAGGTTAAAACTCTAAACAGGCTTTCTTCGACTAAAGGAACAGACGTTAGATTGCCACAGTAAGCTTTTGGCACACACAACTTCGATCCCTTTCGAAACAAATCGAGGATAATGCTAGAAAACTCTTTCACTGTTCCTGTAGATAATATTTGAAAACTTATATACAGTAGTTCCAGCAGATTATAGCTTCATGTCTTTACACTAATGTATGGTGAGATGAAATAAATAAGATATCTTTGCAAAAATTAAAGCATTTCAATTTTGCTCTTGGCTGCTTCATGGGCCGTAATCTCACAGCCTTCTTCAAGTCCAGGTACCTCTCTACCACATGCGTTCAAATATTCTATTATGACGTCACAATAGTCCAGTTCAATTTTTTCCTCCATTCAAGTCCTCCAGCCACGCCAAAGACATCCCAGATTAGAGCATCGACTCCATCGACGTCGGATCGATGTGGTCGCTGTGTGTGAACATCGTCGTCGTCACCGACTTTGTGGTCGCTCCGGTGGGGAATTTGTGGTGCGATGTCTGCTTTCGACACCAACGTCCGGTAAAGGCATCGCGGAACCCTCGACGGAAGTTTTCATTGAACCCGCAGTAGATGAAAGGATTCATCGCAGAGTTGGCGTAGCCCAGCCAAATTATGAAGGTGAAGATGTCCCAATCCGACTTAAACTGTAAAGTAATTTAACAAACGGATTGTTTTGATATTGCATTGACACAAACACATCAAATCATTACCTCGAAAAGCAATAGTGTATAGAAAAGAGAATGGGGGGGGGGTGGGCTCTTAAGTTGTTTTACTTGCCAATATTTGTAACCTCATGTTCAAGTAAAGGGTAGTGAGGTGGTTCTTCAGGATTGTATCATATCTATATGTACTGGCTACGAATGCATTTTGATATGCACCACCAGCGGCTCTCTTTTTTATATCGATTAATTCGGCCACTCACTAAATTCTAGAGACTGTTACGTTATTATTTGGCAGGACAGGACACGTTAAATCTTTCCAGAAATAAATATTTCCATGACCCTTTACAAAAATGTTTGGTCTTTCTGTTTTCGATTTGATATAGAAAGGCTACGATAACATTTTACGATCTGCACATATTATACTACATGGACTAAAATCAACTTTCGTTATCTGAATGAAAATTATATTAACGTAATTAATACATAATAGACATACCAAGCCAACCAATTACCGACGGCCCCATCCCACCCTCACTAAGCCAATCCAGAATTAAAGTGAGCACGATTGCGAAGAATTTCGAAAAATCAATTAAAGACAATTTCAATAGCCTTTTCAATCACCTATTATACTTATTGAAATAGGCATTGCGAACATTACGATCGCGTTTTGCATCATCCGAACAGGCTAGTAACTCCATGATCCGAACAAGATTTGTTATGGGATATAGAAAAGGCAGGGTATTGAAATTCCTCTTGAACTGGTTTCTCGAAAACCTTTCTGATCGTGTAAGTAACTCTTTGTTAACAGTGCCGTGCTGTGTAGATTTGGGATACGAGGCAAAAGGGAACTTACGCCTCGGAAATGTGCGTATAGGTTGTAGATGTGGTATGGCAGCCAGCACAAAGCGAACGTTATCACTACAACAAGCATCATCTTAACGACCTTTGAAAGAAAAAGAAAAATTAAATATGTTTATTATTTACTCAACCTTGGGACGTATTAGAATATATAGTTTAACAATTATTGAAGGAAATCATTTGTTTGGACTTGCCGGTGTTGGTATCTACCGATGTGTTTGGAACCATTTTCATACGTTAAAGAGAGTACCATCACTTAGTCTAGAAAGGAAAATAATAACGGACCAAAAACAGATCCCTCAGGTACTCCTAAGGTCATAGATCAAACGTACCTCAATTACGATTGCTCTTTCGTCATGACATAATAGATAGGACTACACAATTGTAAGTGTCAGATGGAGAATTCAAGAGCAGCTTACTGTTATAATTCGTTCGTTCGTGTCTTCTTAGATCAAGCTTAATGTAATCTTCGGAGTAGTTGCTACAACCGGCCGTGTCAGACACGTTGCCCCGGGGTGCGAGATAGGACTCTTGTAGCGTGCCCCAGAATAAAATATCGTGGTGTATTTTTTGGGAGAATAATTGATAAAAGCTTTGAAAAACATAATAACGGACCCAATACAGATCCCCATATACAAAAACGCTATACCAAAACACACCAACTCACACTTTCAACATTTGAAAAAGGCCAATGAGTGACAAAATGAGTCTTCAAAATATTAGAATCAATACTTTTCACTGCCCGCTGCAATCTTAATGATTTTCAATTTCAATCCAGCAGTATATAGCGAGAAATAATTTATTCTTTTAACACTCTTTCCCCTCTCGGCCTATTAAACTGGAGATTTAACACTTAATATGTTCTTGGAGCAAACGAGAATTTGTCCTCTCTTTCGTTTCAATCACCTTTTTCCGTGCCTTGTCCTGAACAGAGATAGTTGCTTTGATGGAGACCCCTGGCCCACTGATGCTCCGATAGCTTAGGGTCATTCCAATTCGGACATAGGCGACAGACATCAGCACAAGTGGGACTACATATACACACACGAAAACAGTCAAGGTGTACATCTCCTTGGCGAGTTTCCATTGCAATTGCCCAATTATGCCCCAATGTTCGAAGCAGTATTTCTGTTGGATAGACAAGAACAAGTTGAAATGATAAAGATTGATAGAAAAACCCAGTTTATATAGCGCATATTTGTCCATTTCAAAGAATTAATTCCTGTCAGGTACCCATTTTACATCACCTGGGTTGAGTGTGGCAAATGTAGATCAATGTCTTGCCAAAGGACATTAGTGCCACGGCAGTCCGGCGACTTAACCACTCGACCACGGCACCTCAACAAATGACGTTTATGCACTTAAGCAATTAAGGATTCGAACCCGCCCCTTTTCACCCAAAGTTCGGTGACTTATCCACTGGAGCACAATATCTATACACTCTTACGCTAAAGGTCAATGTCCGCTCATAGAGAGTTAAATCATCTTATAACCGTAACCAATTTTCAATATTTTTGCCATAAAGTCAACTTTCTGTCGGTCATTGCTGTAGATGTACACAATAGCAGTAAAATCATATTATATGGGTCACTTTGGTACTTTGAAATTGAAAAAATTGTTCCCATTCAGTATCCAATGATCTAATCGAAGGTTCGTGTATGATTCCAGATGACAATAGTGTCTATAAAAATGAACATTGTGATTAAAGGCACATATTTTTTTAATGTAAATCCGAGTATACTTATCGTTATCTTATCCAATATTTTCATTACTATCATTATTATTATTATCAATAATATTTATCATTATTATTATTATCATTTTCATTATTATCATTACTTGTTTTTAGGCCTTTTATAATCAATGTTATTAGTATTATTATTATCTACTGATGTAAATGGCAAAATAGGTAATTTGTATTCGATAATAGTAACATATTGTCACCTACATGTAAATAAAGTAACTTAGCGTGAATACGTTGACACAAACAACTGCACAAGAAAACTGGGCGTTACTAGAAAATTTAGGAAATTCATTCTCCAGAATTGAACCAGAATTGACCGAAATGAACGAAATTCTCTATAAATGGAAACGTTTAATTTTCTTTCGTAATTGTCGATCTTTGTTAATTTATTTACTCTTAGTTACCGTATTTAAAGACAGTTGTGTGTTTAATACGGAAAGTGTAATCAACAATGACACAACAACATTAGGTGTTACTAGGAGAAAACACTATGAACATGACGGACAAAGAAAGAGGACAAAATATACAGTTCCCCGGGTAGACAAAGGAACATCCCTTCACTGCTATTATGTAAAAATGTGTAGAACAGGTGTCATATGCATATGCACCTGTTCTACACATTTTTACATAACAGCAGTGAAGGGATGTTTCTTTGTCTACCTGAGGAACTGTATATTTTGTCCGCTTTCTTTGTCCGTCATATTCATAGTGAAAGGAAATCGTGGATTCTCTTACCCGTATTTCTCCGTTCGGCCAAGTATGTTCTAAATAGTGGTAGTAGATGACTAGCGGTATGTTGATTGCCGTCGAAAAGAGCCAAACGACTGCAATGACTAGCCAGGCGTTACGCTTGACTACCCGCGACTTGATAGGGTGGAGTATCGCGATGTATCGATCACCAGCCACGACCATGAGCGTCAGGATGCTGACATGTACAGAAACCCCTGAAAAATAAAATGAAAAGAGATTTATTCATCTGTTTATGATTTACTTATTTAATTACCACGTTAATTAATTAATTAATTTACCTTGTATATTCATTTATATATTCATTTATTTACTTTGTTATTTATTAACTTTACTCATTATATTTACAGTAAAAACTACATAAAGGCTGCATAAAGGTAACACATAGTTATGGAATGGGGTCATGAATTTGGTTCAAATGAACATGAAGAGTTTACCCTCTCAATCCGTATTCGTACTTAATACATAGATTTTCCATTTCCCACATAATTGTTTACAAATTATTATTAATTATAATACATATATCACAATAAAAATGAGAAATTATTGATTCTTTTAAATGTTTGTACTGGTTTTTATTTTAAAAAAGATGAATATATCAAGCTGAATTATATGTTGAATTTTTGCTGAATGTAATGTATAATCCCATATCCCCGATTAAATATCAAAATCCGAATAAATTTCCTTTCTTTATCTGCTTTCTTACACATGAAGTTCTTTCTCCGCCAAACTGTTTCACTGTATGTAAATGTGAAACACGCATGACTCATTAAAGGAAATATTGTCCAATTTTCCCACAGGCGTGATCATTAAAAGCGATACGATATCTAAGAAGTGACATGTCGTCTGCTAAGAACCAGGGGCGTTAAATTGCATACTTTGATACATAACGGCTTTGAACAGACGATATCATTTTTTTTCTTGACATGCAATGTCTCTTTCTTTTGTACATTCTACAATAACTTTTTGTCCTACTACAATCCAATACAATTTTGGAAGAAACATTAGATAAAAAATTCTCATCAATAAAATTATTGATGAGAATTTTATATCTAATGTTTCTTCCGAATTTGTATTGAATTGTAGTACGGTAGGACAGAACGGTATTTGGCTTCGTCTGTTAAATTCAGACATTTAATAATTAGTATTATTTGTTGATGGTTTTTAACTACCTCACGGTCCACCTCATCACTTTCCCCTCCCCTTCAATCCCTTCCCCTCCTCATCCCACCTGTTCTCCCCTCCTCCTCATCGCCTCTTTCCCCTTCCCTCGTCCTCATCACCTCTCTTTCCACACATCTATCCGACCATCCCAAGTTTGATCATAAAGATTTAATTATTTAATTATTGATTTACTTGCTAGGTAATTCTGTTTCTCCCCTCCCCCTCGACCCCCGTCCTATATTTGCGCCTGGACGCATTCAGCATCGGATAAAGCCAACGTAGCCACAACCCCTTCCTGTTTTTATTGGAAAATCTTTGATATTTATGTGTATACAACCATGGTAGGTCTATGATACAGCAGACAGACCTAACAAGCTACCCCCTCCCTTTTCATAAATTTTGGATGCGTCACTGTTTTGCACACTGCGCCAATGGATGCCTGTTCCTGCTAAAATACCCTTCGTTGCTCTGTATATCATGTTATGATCTGTAATGTATTCATATCGATTTCTTTCTGGATTTTAGAGTGTTGATTCCAGTCAAGAATACTGCGCTCGGCCCTGTACAGTCTAGAATTGTAAAATAATTCGAAGTTGTGCTCTGAATTGCATGTTTCCTACTCCTCTTGTAGCGCATTTCGTATTAATTTCAGTAATGACTTTTAATTTAAAAAAAAACATATGTTCTGCTGTTTGTTTTTGTTTTTGAAGGGGGGGGGGTGGGCGGGGTTGGGGTCAGTTCGAAAAAATGAAGCCTAAATTCCATGTAGGGTATTGAAGATAATTAAAATCAAGATAACAAAAGGGGACAAAAAACATTTAAACAAAACGGATTTATGTTATTGGCGCATACCTCACAACAGAAGGTTATTAGTGAGTAATAATCTTATTTTGCTATAAAAAACACTATAGACAGTTATTTAAGGCCTCCGTATATAAACTTAAAAGCTGACACGTGGTTTCATCCCTTATCCCGCATTATTGGCAAAGTATGAACACTTCGCGAGCATATCAATTCCTTCGCGCTCCTTTTGGGAGATCAACCGACCCGCGCGCATTTTATATTACATGGTATATATGGTAAAATTCTCGACATCTTTTTACACTTTTCTTTACCATTAAAAATCGAAATTGAGAATAATATCCTCAATCGAGATATGAGAAGAAGGAAACATTTCCTTTACATTCCATGTAAAACCATGCCCTTACTTGAAAAAAAACCTCCGTCACTTTGACGTTGAACTTTACAATCCATTTTAAAAAAATTACTCTCTCATACACAATGTCAATGGATCGGTCGTACTGTGCTCGATTGCCTTTCAATAAACCAATCTTTAACTTTGCAGCAACGCGTTTTGCGTCAAATTTGTAAATCCTCAATCACAGACAATGACATATGATACGTAAGCTTTTCATACATATAAATTTCATTTTGATTGATTCATTTTTAGCTCCGTCATTTTTCATGTCAAATCATGCTTCATGTCCCATTTTAGAAGCCCGACCCAGGGTTTTGTGCCAGCTAGCCGTATGCATGTACGTAATGCTATGCATACACATATAACTGAACATGCATAGTACAGTACATGTACACACGCAGCGCAGCGCGTACGAGCGCACTGCACTACATTTCATTGGGTCAGTACCATTATGAAAATAGGGTAACAATGAGTGGGATGGGTTTAGTGCCGTCACAATAAACTTGCGCATTACACGCGTACGTATAATTAGAGCAATTTATGCACCCCCAAGAAATAATGAATACAGCCCGACCTCTCTACACACAAGAACTGCACAGATACCGCACAGTCCGGTCAAGGCGGTACGCGTAGCGTTAAACTGCCAAATTTACAGAAATTGTGAGGAGCGCTTTTGCTATGAAAGGAATTGATATGTTGAGCAGGTATGATGTAACTTGCCAAAATGCAATATTGTTAGCTGCGCTATTTTATTAGTTCCACCTACAGATTGTTTACATTCTGAAGTTTCCCCAAATTATAGTCCACTTCTCCACCGACTACAACATCTGAAGAGCAATTGAAATGACTGCCGATCATTTTTAAGGTGTCTCGTAACCCCATTTTGGTTGCTCCTTTGCCTCTCCGGAGATGAAGTTATTTCCATAGTTCACGGATTCGCTGATATCATTTAGATGGCATTATTCAGCCTTTTTCGCGGCTGTGTATGTTTGAAGATGTTGACATTGTATTTTCCAATAGCGCTTGGAATATGATGTGAGGAACATAAGTTTTGATTATGAAACCGCGAAGAGGCGATACCCAATTGTACGCGTAGTGTGTGTGAAAGACGTAGCAGTGCGGTTGAGGAGTATTTATATGTATAGGTGTCGTGGATGAGTGGAAACGTCGCCGGACTGTCGATCACAAGGTCCACGGTTCGAGTCCCGCCGCGGCACTAATGTCCTTTGGCAAGATATTGATCTACATTTGCCACTCTCCACCCAGGTGTTAAATGTTAAATGGGTAACGGTAGGAAAAAATTCCTTAAAATGCTGTGAGCGTCGAATCGGCAGCCTAGCATAGCCGGGTAAAGTTGGAGCGCCTTGAGTTGAAGACCTTGCAAGGTCGATACGTGCGCTATATAAGAATCCAATATTATTATTTTTATTATTTTTAGGCTGTGTTCATACGGCCTTTTCTAACCTGACTCGATCTTGTTTAATTCATCTACGGTGTACTGCCAAGCTCGTTAATGAGCTAATAATTTACATATCGTTTAGAAAGCGAATTTATTACCTCTCGCTCTCCATATGTTTTGAGAAATTACAAAGTGCTGTCAGAAATCTCAGTGTGTTTTAATGAAAACACACCGTGGGATGACATCAATTATGGACACAGGAGTGAGTGATTAAAGCTATTCCAGCAGGTTGACACAGGGCGTATGAACATAATCCAAGACATTATGATAGCGATTAATACTATGGTAATAATACTGATAACAATTATGATGATGTTAGTACTACTTCTACTACTACTACTACTCCTACTACTACTACTACTACTACTACTGTCACTAATAGTAACAATGATGACAATGATGATGATAATTATTAATGATGATGATAATAATAACAATTATAATGATAATAATGATAATGATATCAATCATTACAGCAGCATCAACAAAACCACAACAATAATGATGATAACGGTTATAATATCGCTTATCACGCCCTGTCTAATAGTCTTTCACTACTGTACAAGTAGTATAAACATCGGATTAATTCACGCACACAAACGGGCACCGGGAGTGTTTTATCTTCTAGTTCGTAGAACATGTTCAGTACTTACTTGAAATGTTCAATATTTCACTACTTGTCATTTTATCTGTATCCTTTATCCAGCTCCTTAAACATTTAAAGTTCCTCAATCCTTTATTAATGATGATCAGAACCATACAGCTCAATAATTCATCATCTTATCCAAGGAGTATTATCTTTACGACAGGGCTTAGCCACTACTGGACAAGCGAATATAATTGCGTGGATTTTGTTCCTGTTTTAATCCGCTCACGTTGGTGGGGGAAATGAACGGGTACCTCTTGTTGACGTTTATGATTAATAAACTGTCATCTCAACACAAAATTATTTGTACATCTCTAATGTTTGCATTGTCCGAAAGGAAATCCAGATAGGCCCCTAGACATGGGTGTAGATCCCGGGGGGATGGGGGGGATATATCCCCCCCCCCCAATATTTCAGGTGGGGGATGGCCTGTACAATCATCTCCCCCCCCCCCATTAATTCCCCATAATAAAAAAAATGAAGAGAAAAATTAATGAGAGCCCGATGAGAGTAGTTAATGGTTATTACTCGCAAGATGACCATCAATATAACATTTTATTATCTCATTTTCATAATACATATGTAAATGAGACAACCGTATATAAGACAAGAATAAATGGAATTCTCGCTCATACGGCTTCATCAGAAATTGATGAATTTATTCAATTTATTCAATCAACAGCATTATAGAAATGCAGTGCACCAACTGAATTCAGACAAGGATTAAGAATCGAGAACGGTACAACGAATCGTCTTCTTTCTCTAATAATTTAATGAAACTTCAAAAGAAACTGAATTCAGACAAGGATTAAGATTCGAGAACGGTACAACGAATCGTCTTCTTTCCCTAATAATTTAATAAAACGTCAAAAGAAACTGAATTTAGACAAGGTTTAAGATTCGACAACGGTACAACGAATCGTCTTCTTTCCCTAATAATTTAAAGAAACATCAAAAGAAACTAAATTTAGACAAGGATTAAGAGTCGAGAACGGTACAACGAATCGTCTTCTTTCTATAATAATTTAATGAAACAATAAAGCTTCCGCGCTACGCGTGGGAGAGGGAGGGGGAACTGAATTCAGACAAGGATTAAGAGTAAAAAATGGTTCAACGAATCGTCTTCTTGTCTTTAATAATTTAATGAAATGTCAGAGATTCCGCGCTACGCGCGGAGGAAGGGGGACTTGATTCAAACAAGGATTAAGAGTCGAGAACGGTACAACGAATCGTCTTCTTTCTCTAATAATTTAATGAAACGTCAAAAGAAACTAAATTTAGACAAGAATTAAGAGTCGAGAACGATACAACGAATCGTCTTCTTTCTCTAATAATTTAATAAAACATTAAAGCTTCCGCGCTTCGCGTGGGACGGGGAAACCCCCCTCTCTGCACCCATCCCACTGATCTCTATTCCGTAGAGATCAGTGACCCATCCCCCTAGGTCGCGCGCTTCGCGCGCTCCGTAAGTGATTCGCACGCTTCGCGTGCTCACTACCCAAGTTGCAAGCCATGTGGGACCCACATTAGTCCTATATTCTCTGAAATGTTATCTTTATTGAGGGTGACTTGAAAAAAGTTAATAACTTGTAAGGGAGGGGGTGCAACCTGCCACACGCTTCTACCTCTTGGTTGCTTTGATCCATTGCCGAAAATATTTTGGCACCTATCATCCCCCCCAACCACGGATACAAATCGACACCGTTGCCCCTAGAGCATGCTAAATCAGTCTCGAGCCAGGAAGACAGTGAATGTAAGGTAATCGAACCGGGATTGAACCTTTATAATAAATTCAACTATAGAAAAATGACAAATAAAACAGAGAAGCAGATTGGTGACATTTTTAACGAAAACTGATAAAATATGTTAAAGTTGTGTGTGTTTTTTTTATTAAACGTTATAACACGGACAATAATCTCAAATTGATGAATAAGTCGTGCCGTATTCGGCAAAAACTCTCTCATTTGTCCTTAAAAATCAAGAAATGAAGTTACAGCGTCTTGTCGGTATAAACGTTTGTAAACAATATATTTCAAAGAACTGATCGTGAAGAAAAAAATTGACGGTATGAAAAAAGGATCTACGATGTAGATGCGGGGATAAGGTGAATAATCTATTGAAGAAGAAAAAAGGGTTATGTTTGCTGCCCCCTGAGTATTTGAGTTCCTGTTTTGGGGGTATTTATATCTCTCACCACGCCCAGACAGAGTGACCGAGTAACAAAAGGGATGTTGGCATTGGTATTGACAGTAAATTAGATATTACGACCTTCCTGCAGGCAGGAGACGACTCGCGGGATAAAAGGTTGCTTTAAGGGGATGGGTAGGCCGATAATGAAAAGACGAGCATCATTCCCAGAAACCTACTTCAGCTTCCAAACCCGCCCTCAAGCCACCGAGCCGCAAGCCCGAGTATCACCATCGAGCAAACTCGTTGTAATGGCCCAATATTTGTGACCATCCATCTCCGACAATGTCTCAGTCAATGTTAGCAAGCTGTTAGCGAACTTTCCGAATTGGCGGGAGGTTTCCGATCCTCAGATTCAATTGCGAATTTAAGAGTTCTCGGGGGTTTGTACACACATAGTGACGTGGCCTCGATTTTTTAGTGGCCTTTGTTTTGGCGGTCAGTCAGTCAAAGCAAGTGTCATAAATGTAACTCCTTGGTCAAAACAAGATGTCCATTTCGAAGTCATCCTAAGCCCCAGTTTGAAAAGTGTGCGGCCTACTTCTTTTCGAAGACTTTAAAGATAAAGTTGAGCTCTGGTCATATACGATTGCATTATGAAAGAAACTTTATATATATATATATATATATATATATATATATATATATAGGGGAAAGGTCGAATACGTGGTGCATAAGAATTGGTGTAAGGTGTGATGTTTTGTTTCTGTTTTTGTTTGCTTATTATTTTGTTTTCATTAACTTGAGGTGACGTAAAATCAAAGGACAATTATGATAGTAAACAATTATATAAATCTTATGTTCGAAAATATCATAAAAGACAAATATTTGTTATGGATTAGCGCTAATGCGAGCATAATTAGAGTGTAACGTCATATTTTTGTTGGCGTCCGGACACACAACCCCCATCATATTATAACATTAAGTCATGTATCTGAAATGGTGATTAATTCCTTGAATCAGTAAGAAACTTAAGCATGTATAAGATATTTTGTCGATTCGTAGAAAAGTTCACAGAATTGAAAGCCAATTATTGCATAGAATATCTAGCATGACGCCAATCACTCTCAATACAAAGATAAGTACGGGTCGTGCAATTGTATTTTTGTTATTTGCTATTAAGAAATGAATTTGAAATTTAGATTATTATAGTAAATACGAGTAATTAGGCGGTGTCACACAGAAAAATCCTGACCCATCTTGAATAAACCAGGTTTTAGAAATCTATTTTTTTCATTTACGTCGGTGACAGACTGGTTACAGACAGGCTACGAATAATCCGGATAACTAAAATCTGGATTTTTGGCCTCTGTGTGACACTGCCTATATTGAGTATTCGATGTTTGCAAGTGTATGGAATGGAGAAAAGCTCTGACGCGGCTCTTGGTTTCAGAAGCAAGGCATTTAATCTACCTTACACCTCTTTACCCAGGTCTATAAATGGTTTCCCATAGGATGCGCACACCAGAGTGATTGAATAATTAGCACGTGCAATAAAATAATTTAAATTCCGCTGGACTTAGCCTTCCAATGGAGAGGAAATTGCTATTAGAATAATCATAAGCGGTGTGTTTTTAACGGCTTTCGGTCCCCCCGGACAAGGATATGTTTTTCAGAGAACTATACACAGATAAAAAGAACACGATAATATACAAAAATAAAAGATCATTGACAGCAACAACAAGAATAACATCAACAACAACAACGGAATTAACAACAGCAACAACCTTACTTAAACAATCGTGCACCTTCATTTTTTTTTTTTTTTATCAACTATGACTCACAAAGTTACCTTTTCTGTTGTCCACCCCTTTACGAGTTGGCCTCTGCCATATTGGCCGTAACTGTTTTTTTTTTTCGGAAACTACATGGATCTCATTGCTACTAAATATGGAGGGTATGGTTGTCCTTGGAAAATAGTCCTTGGACAATTGTCCCATGAACTAGATGTCTGGGTGGGATTTCCAAAGGGTAAAGTTGTTCAAAAGGTCTTTATTCAAGGAGAGTTGTCAAGGGACAGTCGCCACTTGACGTTATTGTCCAAGGATAAATAGCTCTAGGGTTTTTTTTCGGGGGGGGGGGGTTGTCCTAGGGGTAGCTGCCATCGAAGAAGTTAGCAGCGGGAATTGTCCAATAGACTGGGACTACAAGTTGTGTAGAAGAGATTCTTTTCCTAAACGGTCTTTATCCATGGAGGGTTGCCAAGGGACAGTTACCCCTGGAGGGACTTGTCCGGGGATATCTGGATGTTATATAGTCAAGGTTGCCCAAGGAAATAGTTTTCTAGAGGTAAGGAAGTGGATGGCAGATGTCCTAGAGTCTTGTATTTACCTTGTATGAACGTGGAGAACTTGCACATGAAAGCACCAAATGGCCACGATCCTTCCTTGAGTAACGTAGCCAGTAATGTCCATTCCGAAAAGCAAGCGACAATAAGATCCGCAATGGCCAGGTTCATAAGATAATAGTAGGTGGCCGATCTCATGTTCTTATTCTTGTTCCTGATGATAATGGTGATCACGATGCCGTTACCGATAATTGTGACGATAATGTTTAAGAGGAAAGCGGCGACTTTAGTGAAGACAACGGCCGTAGGTCTGGGGAAAGGCGGGGGTAGGTTCCCGGCGCTCACGTGACCCCATTCCTCCTCAACGAAAGACTCGTTACTGTAGTAGTATGAATCGTTGAAGGAAGCGTTCACGCCATTTTCAATGGACGATTCGTCATCGTCATAGCCCATCGCCATCTTGATAAGTCCTAGTCCTTGGAGGAGATTCAAATAGTTTAAACAGAACTCCAACTGTTTTGCGCGGTGGGGCCAATCATTAGTTTGAAGTACATCAGCTTTGATGAGTCCGTTTGATTCACTCCCATAAATGTGCTCGCTCGTTCTTGATACAGATTCGCGGCGCGATGTCGGAAATCCGTTAAAATTATCTGAAATAAGAAGAACAAAAATGTTTTAGTCAATTCGACTTGATCACATGCGGAATATTCAGGACTTGTATCCTATGACTACACTTCTGGCGCCAAACATTCCTGTCGTTATTCGGAAGAAAGCTTAGATCGGAAGTGAGAAAACCCCTCTCCATGCAATAAAATGTTCGCAATTCTAGCTGGCCTCTATCTCAGTCGTCCAAACCCGTGAATCAGTGTTTAACCCCCGCAAAGTGATGGTAGCAGTTGCCTCTTGTTTCCATTAATTGCATTATCCATGCCGCCGTGTCTTTAATTTACGTGCAAATTACGCCCTGAGTGAGTGCTATTGTAGGCGGGAGGGGGAAGGAGGGGTTGGAAGGTGGACATTGCAGACTGTTGCAATCAATAAAGGACAAAGCTTGTAAAGAGGACGTTAATAAGATGCCGATTCACGATCTCTTTTGCTAGTCTGTTTTTTTTTTAATGTTGTAGCCTACCGTAGGACTTCTTTGTTTCCTTTAGACGTAAAGAAAAATGATCGAGATTGAATACAAAACTGAATTGTATTAGTAATTTTACCGTTTATTCAATTCAATATGGGATGATATTTACTATTCGGATAATTGAGGCGACACATATAAAACAAAACATATACGTCGAACAAATGAAACTTGTAGAAAATTATAACGTATTGTCTTCACCTTTACGATACGGGCAAACTCATTTTCCAAGTATCAAATATTTCCTAGAATTTTATTCAAACAACAGATAGTAGGTAAAATTCAAACAAGCTATACAAATTTTTAGTTCAATCTAATTGAGTCTTGTTATCTTTTCAAATAACAATGTGTACTATAAAAATGTAATTAAGGCTTCTATCAACCTTACAATTATTAAGTATACAAGCTTTCATTCACTCAAAGACATGCGGATTTTCTATAAAAGGGAGCTTGATAAAGGCTTGAGAAAGTCTACGTGAGTCATGAGCAGATGACTGGTTGTCTTACGAAATGTTAAGGTCGGTAGAAGCCTTAATTACTTGTTGTGATCAAGTTTTCCTCATTAGTGTGTACAATTTCATCTCACTATAGCATTTTTTTTATGTCATTAAATTCAACGTCAATTCATCTTTCTACCTTTCAGAGAACAAAATGAATATTGCAATCTCATTTTATAACATAATAAATGTAATGTTATTTTTCGGTCAGTTTGTTCAAATCGAATAAAATGTTTCTTATAATAAACATACAATACAATAACGAGAATGGAATTTTTTGTCTCAATCAATCTTAAACTAATGTCGAAATCACTGATGTAGCCAAGCCGGTAAAACAAGACTTCATACATGAAAATAAATAAATAGAATAAAGGTGTTTGCTATACATGTAGGCATTACAAAGGAACAGATTGTGCACAATGTTTAATATTGCATACATTGCTTTACGTTCAGGCACGGGTCGTATGATACTTTAACCAATGAGAAATATTACGACACTCGTAACGTGAATCAAGAACAAGTTAATGTAATTGTACCCCTTAAATATATCTTTCTTTTAATGTCGGAACGCGTGATGGGCTTGGGGGAAATTATTGTATTTCAAGAAAGAAATACAGAAAGTCGTTTTACGGACATGTGGTTGAACGCCATTCGACTCGGTTTAGATTACTTGCATATGTTAATGCACCACAATGCTTAATTAAAAATGTGATTAGGTTTGTTAAGGTAACTAAAACGAGAGGCTTATTGAAGGAGAGAGGGGAGCATCTATGGTAAAGAAGAGGAAAAATAAGAGATAGAGAAGGAGATAGAGAGAGAGAGAGAGAGGGGGGAGGGAGAAGGAGAATGGAGAGATAGAAAGAGAGAGAGAGAGAGAGAGAGAGAGAGAGAGTTAAAGGAAAGAAAGAAGAACAAACATTTACACAATTATCCCACAAACATTTTTACAATTAAAAATGTGATCAAGCCTTGTTAAGAGAAAGACAAATTAATGGCTCATTAAAAGGGAGGGAGAAGAGCATCGATGAAAGAAAGAGAGAGAAAATAAGAGTTAGAATGCGAGAGAGAGATAAGGGGAGAGGGAGAGAGAGAGAGAGAGAGAGAGAGAGAGAACAGAAAGAGATGAGAGACATGAAGATATGAGAGAATAATCAGAGGAAGAGATGCATTTGACGCATCGTTTATGCAGCCGCTAAACAGGAATTGCGCCAAGATACGATTTTGATAGGTAGACATACCTTATTTAGATGTTCAGAAGAACTGTCATTATAATTGCCGTCTTCAATGAGTACCTTTATCCTTTGAATAACGAGTTCACTTCTGTTTCTGCAAACGATAATTGAAAACAAAGATGGCAAGAGGTAGTGAGAGTAAGGGTAGAGAAAAGAGAGAGGAGAGAGAGAGAGAAACAGGGACGGAGAGAGGAGAGGGGTTAAATTTATTTACCATTATAATCCATGTTCATCATGTTCATAAAATTAAAACAATATCATTACCATCCTTTTAATTACATTTTATTACATAATTATGTCTCCTCCATGGAAGACGATTACCAGATTGATCGCAGTTAAGTCGTAGCTTACCGCATTCTCGCATATTTCCACAGAATTTTCCCGCATATTTTCGCAGTAAAAGCGTTGTTGATTGTTGTTGATTTTAATCTTGATTTTCTTTTACTGGTTACTAGGGACTTTTAGATTCGCACGAAGACAATGGGGATTGCTACGATCGACGTCCTTTTAATGCACTGCCTTGAATGGACGTCTTACGTATCAGTCCACGGAAATCTAAAAGTCCCTATAGTTATAAAGATACTGATGAGTTCTGATACATGCAATTTCATTGTAAAAGAAGCTGTATTAAAGCAATAGGGAAAGGCTGAGTGGGCAGTAAATAAGACTTGGTGAGATACTGGAATGATCTATATGAAATTTACAAAACCTTACTGAAAAAAGCAGATGCAATGCACACAGAAATTGGCGTCTGGGACTACACACACGTGTGTCATGAAAGTTTTCTCCAAACTTTGCAGTTTTTTCTCGTCATATTTTTTTAGTACAAGAGCATGCATGGAATAATTCTGGGGGTAAATTTCTTCCATGGTTTTCTCTTCAAAGCGGAAGAAAAAAATTGAGAAAACTCGCAAACTATCTCACATTTTAACTAGAACTCGGGCTTCGCTTTTAGGGTGTCAATAAAATAAAAAAAGATCTTTACAAATCAAATTTCCAGTAAACAGCTTTTTGAAATTGCCAACGTCTAAACGATTAATGTGATCATACTAATATCTTGTTTACATTATGGCTTGAGCAATCTGAACATTAAGGTTTTTAAAAGGCAGAAGCGCCGAAGAACAGTTCATAATCTGAAAAACTCGGTGATTAATATATCAATTACGGAAATCACGGCACGATCTGGGTTAAAGGTTCGATGAAAACCATTACTTTACATGCAGGGTCAGCTGTCCATATTCCAAAGACGTGCCAGTCATTTGCAAAAATCTTCAAATAAACATCAAACCCCGTTTCCAATGACCAGAAATCATTCTTTTTACTTCCAATCCACTCCTTTTGCTCCCGATTCGGAAAGGGTCACCTGAATAATTCATCTCTCCTTTAACTCTCCAAGACTTGTAAAGAGACTGAATCGGAAGTATCATGTATTGACTGCATTGGCATTAATGGCGGGATTAGGTTTCCATCATATTCCAAAGTCGTGATGGCGCATCGGGTTGCCGTGCACAATGGCGGGACGTTTTGTAAGCCATGCGAACAATACAGATAAAACAAAGACGCGCGGAAGCAGCGCTTTTTGGCGCCAGTTTTTAAGAGTTTTCACGTATCTTCGTGGAGATCACAACCCCTTCCATCCCGAAGACACAGCTCGCTAATATTACGGGACGCTCATCGGATAAATTTCCAGTGTAGGGGTACATGTTCAGACAATGAGGCCCAGAAGAAGTTCAAAAAGCATCCCTTACTGCTGGTGCTGAACTATGCACTTACCCCAAATCGTGTTTTTTTTTAAAGCTTTTGACCTCGGGTCCTATCATTTAAAATATGAATTATCTCCTCTACTAAAGACGAGATGGATAACTGTCCGCTCAATACTTTATAAGTAGATGGGTCAACAGGTTTGTGGATTTTCAACGGTTCTTTTTTAAGATTTCACTTGGCAAGGATGTCCCGATGTAGACTCACCATTAACACCTTACCTTTCATAATGCCTTCGTGACTTTTGAAATTGATAGCTTATAGATCTTAAATAGTAGTTAAATCAGATATATTAGAATATCTTTATAATATGATATATATTTGATGGTTATGCTATGAAATTTGACAGGGCATTAATTCACATTTGCCACTCCATACTCAGGAGAGGAATGGGGACCTGATAGCATGACAAATATATATGACCATATATATATATATATATATGGTAGGAATATTCCTCCATGGAGTGGAGATGGTGGACATTGTGCGGGGGTAATAATACATGTGAAGCGTTTAGAGACGGTATTTTGTAGTAGGCGCTATGTATATCCAGATTATTACTATCATTATTATCATTTATGACAACTAATTTTTACATCAGTTCAAGGTTAAATTTATCTCCATTTGAAGTTACATTGCAGTAAATTAAAGATATATTGAAGACAAAATTGTTTTCAATTTTCACCAGAACTGAACCACTTTATTATCATTATAATGAAAAGCATTCGAGACTTTCCTAGCTAAAAGGCATGAGTTTTGTCTTGACAGGTCTTTCATTAAATGCATTTTTTATCGGTTTGTCTTTTAAAAAATGGTGAAAACCTTAGATAGTAATTAAGGAGCCTTTTATTATCCAGCTCTTTTCTCCACCTTCCTATTAACGGGGAAATTCATAAATCACTTTCCCCTCTCCATCCTTCTCGTCTTCCCTCTTACATTTATTGTTTTATCTTGCAAGCTGATTATTAACTTTGTGAATAATTTTTTCCTGTACTTCTCTCTCTCTCCCTCCCTCTATTCATGTCTCTCACTTTCTCTCCGATGCATGTTTTTAGGATTTTCTCTCTCACTCACTCTCCGTCTCTTTCTTTTAAATATTTCCCATGCTTCATCTGCAAAAAATAGGTCAATTGTGCCATGTGTTGTATCGTTAGGAAGATAATTAACTTCCTACCACTTTTGTACACACCATTTTGTAACAAACGCAATAAGCACAATTAAAAGCAAGTGTTTGACTGTGAAGCAGTGTACATGTTTCGGTCAGATTTCGGAACAATAATGGGCAAAGGAGAGCAACAAGATTAAGAACAAGAAGAAGAGCAAGAAGAGCAAGAAGGAGAAAAACAAAAACAACAGAAAGAAGAACAAGAACAAAAACAAGAACAAGTACAAAACAAAAAGAAGGTGATGAACAAGAAGAAGAAGAACGACAAGAATAACAACAAGAGCCAGAACAAAAGAAAAGAAGAAGAAAAAGAAGGAGAATAGGATGAAGATACAAGAAACGAATCCTAACCCTTTAGTACAGTAAGAGTTGAGTTTACGTACCTCGAAATGTACCTCTATTAAAGCGAAGAGGCGCCAATTTTACCAAATGTAAAATGTCAGCATTAATGTTTAAGATTTCGGGAAGCCATATAAGCAACTAACGCCGTGTTGGTTTGTATGTAACCTTTAGCTTATTGCTATCATTCAATTCTTATTTCATTGGGCACCTTAAAGAGCTATCCAAACCTTTGTAGTAAGTTCTTATTTTTTTCCATAATGAGTAAAGCAGAAAAGAAAATCTGAAATAAATTGGACCAATAATAATAAAATGAGATCACTACATCTATGCGAATCTCAAATTAGCAATTTGTCACAGCGATGGCCCTGCATGAACAAAGCAAAGGTCCCCCTCTTAGTATGGAGCTTAGGAAGAACAAGTAAGGTCCTCGTACAACTTTCGCAAGAGTTGCATCCAAGGGACACATCAAGATTAAATATAATTGTATTTCATAAAATTGTTAATACCCTACTAAATGCGTTTGCGTATGACTTAACTGCTATATTTTTTTGCTAAAAAACAGAAAACGAAAGCAAGGTCTGTGAATGTTGTTCCCATGAGAGACACTTTGAACCATATTTGATAGTGACACACAAATGAATAAAATACATTATTACAAAACTAAATAAATGAATAAACAAAATCAATCAATATAAAAGTAAATTAGTCAATCAATCTCAAATTGTACTGTGTTTTTTGAGGGGGGTGGGGGTAAATGACTGACACCATCTCTGTACATGATATTTCCACCTAAAGTAGTAAAAACGTAATGTTTCAGGCTATTTGATAGGTTATGTAGGTCTAAATAAAACAAAAACAAAATAATTTCTACGCATCAATAATATTTGGTCAAGAAAGACGGTGAAGACAGTGAAGCAAAACTGTGACAGCTGCGTTCCCCGACTTAAACAAGAACTGGACTCGAATCGCAGTTTGTTATTACATTTCTTTTATATATTCGTGAGCGGCCCCTGTTGAAAAGCCTTGTTTTTGGGGGCGGTCCCAACGGTTCGTTTATTTTCTTGTTTATTATGCTTGATATATTTAAGGTGCATTTGTAAATGTTTATATGGTGAAAGTTCTAATGATTAAATGATTTGAACTTAAAAATAAACAGCTGTACGTTAATTTCTATAAACAGTTTCATTCAACAAGTAAACAAGTAAACAAGTAATGTGTACTGTATATATACCAACAATGGCGCCCGATTTACATAACGCATTAAGGATCATTGAAAGGCAACATCAAATAATGCTCCAAATGTATTTGTTAATATAATGATTTCATCAATCCATATGCCAGTTTAACAAATTTCCTTACACACACAAACTTGTTTACTGCAATATACATGTATATATATATATGTTCATCAGAAAGGTAAGATTTAAATTAGGAGGGTTACCATGGCAAAGAAATTCATCCAAATGGTTGTTGACAGCAAGTTTTTTTCTTTCTTCAAAATGCTAACATCATTGTAGGTAATTTCGACGATGTTTCGTAAATGCATTTAGAAAAGATGCCAGCGTCAGCTTTCTCATTTGGCATGTTGGGATGATCACCATAAAATTATCAATTTTTGTTCACGGACGCAAGACAATAAGCAATAAAACGTTATTTTTAATAGGTACTTATATCACTTTAATGCGTTTTTTGAAGATGCATTTATAAAACAAGACGGATAGACGCCAGCTTTTTTCTTTACTTGATTAACGACAATCCCTTCGCATTGAAACTTGCCAATTTGACACGTATTCCATACATCTTAAAAGGTTCATGCACAATTCAAGAAGAAAGAAAACAAATATTAATCAAATTGCATAATTTTTTCTACCAACACTCTGTTTTTTTGTGGAAAGACTGAGTGTAATATTAATACTTATCTTTTATGAGTATCTAAATGAGCGATCAAAAGGCAATTAATTACATGTTAAGGTAAGTCAGGAAAAGGAATATACATCATTAAAAAGTTCATGCACAATTCAAGAAGAAAGAAAAAATATTTACAAAATTACATAATTCTTTTTTACCAACACTCTGTTTTTTTGTGGAAAGACTGAGTGTAATAAAAATACTTATCTTTTATGAGTTTCTAAATGAGCGATAAAAAGGCAATTAATTACAGGTTAGGGTAAGTCAGGAAAAGGAAATGCAGGTACCCTGTTGTCCGAAGCTCTTTTTTTTTCTTCAAAAGTGTTATTGGAAAATATTGAAATATGAAATGATACACACCATTGAATACAACGTAACTATTATACAGTCAAACCTCTCTATACAGGCCTGTTGTCGGTGTAGAGCCCATGACTGTCTCCCTCGGAAGAAAAAAAAATCTGTGTCGTGAAGCCTGTCTAGAAAGACCACTTGTCTACAGTGGCCAATTTCTTTCTTGGTGGCCTTCGTATACAGGTTTGATTGTATGTTATATTGTATTGTACGATACAAGTAAAGCTGTATAAAGATTAAACTATGAATATAACGAAAGCATTGGTCTAACGAGTTTTGAGATTCATCACTCGAAGTATGAAATTATACTAATCATTGATTAAAAAAACGTTCTGCTAAGAAAACGAGTAGATTAAAAAAGTTAACAGGTAAATATATTAGAAAACCAGCTCTAACAAGTTTTGTGATAGAACATAAATATGAATTTATACTTCACATTGAACAAAAAGTAGCACAATTACTGAAAGTCAGAAAACAGGAAGAGAAGAGAAAACAGTGAACAGATGAAGATATATTTACCCGATTAGCTGACCCGGAATTAAACGAGAGCAATTTAATTAGAAGATGACGATTAGAAATCTCATCGATGTATCTGTACCGATTGAAGAGTGATTAAGTAAGACGTAATAACGAGTTTCACGGGCCGACAGGTTCAACTTCTGAAAGACCTAAGAAACAGATGTTCCTTGTCATCTCAGGTGCTCGGGCCGGAGACGCTAACAACCGCTACCCGGAAAGCTCTCGGCCGGATCGCCAGGACTAGTGTGATGGTGTTCCTCCAATCTCCTCCTCTCCTCCTCCCTTCCAGATGCAGACAAAGATGCGAGAGAAGAGATGGAGAAGAAGATACCCCCGGTTGGAGAGGGATGGTTGGAATGAAATGATATCGGCGGGAAGCGACAACTTGATCAGACGACGTTTTGGCAGCTGCGTGGTTGGTTCGACGAATCAGATCGCCTAGTCTCAAGAGCCCAGTCGTTTCCATGGCAAAGGCGAAACAATTTCTCGTATTCATTATCTTTTGATTTGATGCTCGCGTTTGACACGCAGATAGCTTGAGAGATGAGAGATTGATTGGTTTAAGGGTGACATTCAAAACTTCAAATTGATTCGTAATTAGCTTACCTAGGATACCTTAGCCTTGTTTTCTGACAAGTCCTAGTTTTTAATAGCTGTTCTTTTGCTTATCATTAATTTGATTAATTAGAATGATAACAAATTCCAGAGCATCTGCCTAATTTGTCCTATTTTCTTTTGGGTTTCTTTCTTTCAAAATAATGTTTGTTCCTATATTGTATGTTCCCTTGTTGCTATTGTTTGTGTTGCTTATTTTTTTCTTCTTTCTATTACCGACATTTCAGTCCGTGAAACATTTTCTTTTTGTTCTAACATAATTTTAAAACGTATTTTCAAGTCCTCACTCATTCTTGATTATCTTATTTTCTTTCTTTCTTAGTACCTTTCTTCCTTTCTTTCTTCTTTCCTTTCTTTATTTTTGGTTTCGCTGTTTTTTTCTTGCTTAAGGAATTTCTTAGTTGTTTTATATCTTTTTACTAGAGATGTGCTAATAACAGTAAGCGCTTTTCTTGCAATGTTATTATTTTATTTTAAGAAACTGTGACTAAACGACTCCGAAGAGTATTTTCATTATTAAATGTATCACGGATGCAAAGATGTATGTATGGCATCTCCCTTAATTAGAAGGAGCGTGAAGCACTATTTATATTTAAGAACAGTGGGTTTTCTTTTCCTTCAATTACATGAAGAAAAAAGTTATCCGATCTTGAAATGCGCATGTTACGATTTAGAACTCACGCAGCGTTTGAATAAAGTACGAGAGTTTCCACTCCTTCTCTATTACCTCCCCGATTGATCCACCCGCACTACCATTACCAAGGAGTTTTAAAAGATGGGGTCATATCCCTTTGTACCATCGTTGATGCCGCCAGGAGAAAATATGTCAGGCATTTGCTTTACTGGATCCTCCTTGCAGATATTTTACGTTGTACCTTGATACGTTAAGCGCTTAGAAACATTGTATTAAGCGCTTTATACATTTATTATTATTATTATATGTAGACAAACAAATCCTGCCTAGCTGCAACTAACGGGCCACTTTCAAAGAGAAAATGCTTTTGTAATGATAATTACTTTTCGCTACCACTCGTCTGATAATACGAGCAGGACACAGTGCTTACCTTTATTGGAGGCAAGCGAAAGGAAATGGAGCAACATTTCCCAAAATATAAATAAAAATTACTCGACTGGGCATGTGTGGGCATTTCCCAAAATATAAATAAAAATTACTCGACTGGGCATGTGTGGGCACTAACTTGACATATAACTTCATAAATAACTGTACATGAATTGACTTTTTATTTTCGTGAGCCGGAAGTAATCGGAGAAGTGTCAAATCGCAGGTTTTAGGACTGTAAATTGTTACTATTTGTTCACATATTCAAGCTGCTACTATACAATGTAAGCATATTTCTTGACACAATTAGGCTTTTGTATTAATATTTTATCATCTGCTCAAATTTTCACTTGTTTGTTCAAATAAAAAGTGAAATATTAAGGATATTTCTTTGTGAAAAATCACCACTCAAGCTTTCCAATGATATTGACGGCTCCGAACCTCATAGAAAACGGCTTGGAATAATTTGTTGCCAGTTGGGTCTCCATCTCTAAAAACTCCTTGCCATTTTATACCAAGAATGATAAAAGTGGCAAACATGTTTCGGGGAAGAATCTTTCATGCCGGTCAACCTGAGCAAGTGAAAAAGTGTTCAAAATGCCTAGAAGCCGGGCACCATGCATCTCAATGTATTAAAGTAGATATTTATTGATTTTAAAAACTAACGTTATTTTCATTATTGCAAAGTTGAAACTTTGATTCGACAAGGTTATCAAAATCAACGCTTGGAAACATTCGAAGTAATGATTATTATAAATTACAAAACGCTTAAATACAGCCACGGCATAGCACCTGAAGAGCTCTCCGAACGCTGCTGAGATGTGTGAGATCACAGTATGGACATGATTTTGCACAAGCAGACGATGTCCCATGACATCTCACACATTTTCAGTGCATGTGTTTTCATCTTCTCGTGAGTTCTTTCTCTTACTTCACTACTGTTAGGTTAAATGTATAACCTATTGCCTCACTCTAAACCCGCGCATGGTTTTATTTTGATGACAAATGCAGCGATACAAAAATAAAGGAATCTGTCGCTTGTAAACAAAATCAGACACCATTGTATATTCAGCTGCACACACCGCGGTATGTTCGGCGTTTCAAGAGGGAACAAATGCCGTCCTTAATATCATTCCGGGGGTTTTTCAATTTGAAAGTGTGTTGTTTTTTTATTGTTAATTAATCCCTATCATGTGTATTTACAAGCAAAAGATTTGGTTATCAGAATCGGGTCATATCCCCTTTAGAATGGTTTGACATGATATTACATTAATTTATATACACTAAACTCATTATAATTTGATAAACAATAGCTTTGCAATGTTCATTCTTTATGGGATGTCGTCTGCTTGGGCAGTATTGGTCCATATAGTGACGTCATTAAAACATCGTTATTTTTCCGGCGAATCTCTCGTATATCCAGCTGCTATAGAGGTGGTCGTATTTGTATTTTTATGAATCACCCGATATGTAGTTGACCTATAAACTTGTACGATGGCCATCTGTTAGCTTACCAGTTACTATTGATACATTAGTTGACATATTTGTGATTTTCTTTCAATTTCACCTTTAACATTCTTGAATTACAAACACAATTTAGTACTCTGTTTCCCTTGAAGAAGCAATTTCGACCGAATTAAACACAAGATGCAATACAAAAATTAAAATGATCGAAACAATAATAAATCAATAAATCAAATCAAATCAAACATAACTTGGTTGGAAACTAAATTCATCTGGAAAGATCATCGGCAAGGATAAGAAGTGATAAAATGTATCTTTCTTAAAGTGTTAAATGAGCGGCTTTCTCTAATGCAGTAAAACTTTAGCGGACTATACTCTCTAATAAGGCTACCGGCCTATACAGGTAGTGGTCACTCATATTGCCTCCCTTTAGAAGGGAATGTGTGTTGAAAAACCTGTCTGGAAAGGCCACCTGTATACAGTGCCACTGTATACAGGTGGCCTGTAAACAACTCTGATAACATTCACTTTTGAAAACTCCCCTTCTCTATCATCAAACCTCAGCGACAACTTTCTTCAAACCTATTCGGATTATATAAAAACATCATTGTCATGGAATTGCTTTACTGAGGTTTATTGTTTGGTAATTATTATGCTTTAGTTATTCAGTTAGTTGGTTGACAACATTCAAAAAGGAATTGCTTACGTTTGGATCTGACGCCCTGCGTATGGTTATCCTCGACATTCAACGCATCAGAATTGTCGATCTCATCTACTTCGACTAAAACACTTGCTGCCACGGCCAAGGCAATCAGAAAGTAGAGAACGATCATGGTTTCTGATGCCATTTTCAAAGTTTGAGGAAAATAGAATCAACATCGAATACATTTTGTGTTTCACTGATGACAACTTAAAAAATGTTTAAATTTCCTATGTTTTTTTTTTACGGGATATTGCTCAAATTGTACTAATTTGTTTGTCTCACTTTTCTGATTTAATCAAAACCAACTAAATATCAGGGTGGACTTCCCCTTTACAGTTGGGTACAGTTTTATTACACATGAGGTAAACAAAATAAGGACTGCACATGTTTGTTGGGTAAGATTTAAAACCAACATTAGGTAATATTGAACTAATTTTTAGTACATGTTACCCAACAAACATGCAATAATAATAATAATAATAATAATAATAATAATAAGCTTTAGTTGTAAAACAATTAGTATTTTAAAATTAATAAAGAATTTAGGAAGGTAGTAGTTAGTCAGGGTGTGTAATATTGATTAATGCCTTACCAACGGACACTAGCAACCTTTAGTGTTACGAACCCGGGACCTCCCAATTACGGGATCACTGGGCCTTCGCACCCGTCAGAGGTAAGAGGCGAAGAAAATGCCTGAAGAAATGCAGACCTTCGCTCAGCAACTTAATAAATATTGAGTATTCCCATATCCAGACTCTCAACTACCGAAAAACGTTTTACAGTGTCTGCTTCGAGGGATTTAACCTGTCTTATCACTTTCAAAAGATCAATTAAAACATTCTTCCTTTCAGTAATAAAGCATGATTTACTTATTCAATAATTATTATGTTTCTCTTCACATTCTGTTACTTTGTAAGCGATAAGGTACTTTTTGTTTTAGCGCTCCTAAATAATCGATATCATTATCAATGCAATTACAAACTGACGGAATCAAAAAGACATCTCATGCGCTTAACGTATACGGGCTGTTGGGCCTACCTGATTTCGATGCGGTCTTCGAGTAGAATTCTGTGAGATGATGATATACTTTCTCGTAGATGGATGTGACGAAGTGTCTCTATCCAGCTATCTAGATAGCTTCTAGATTTACAGAATATCGAAGGTCGCATGAAGGTTGCCATCTGCTTGCAGCCGCGAGAGAGAGAACGTTTTCAAAATCCAATTACAATAATTAATTAATAATGAATAATTCAATTACAATAATTAATTAATAATGAATAATTCAAATACAACAAATAATTAATAATTAATAATAATTTTGAATCTTAACATGTTGTTATTATTAATACAACACCGCTGTTAACCGCATCCGATTCGATCATTCTGCTGTGATATGTAATCTTAATATTGCGCCACCCAAACCAGCAAAAATAAAAATCTCTTTCCATGAATTTCGCGATATTGTAAATTAAATACACCATTTAATAGACATCTGCTCGTAACTGCGAGTTATATAGAATATATTAACTGT